TGCTCACATTAGAAAAACAGAGTGAGCTAAAATACCCTAATAATAAACCTTAAAGTAGTGAAATAGCAATAATAGTTGAAGAACCTAAACCTGTTTAAGAAGGAAAATCATAAAGATCAGAGAAAAAATTAACAAAATTGAGAATAAAAGAATAATACAAAGAATCAAAAAAGCAAAGATCTGCTTTTTTGAAAGAGTAAATAAAATAAGATAACCCTTTGCCGAGCTTACCAAAAGAAGGAGAGAAAAGACTCACGTCAGGGCAATTAGGAATAAAAAATGTTAATGGATTCTGGGGTTCTGTAGTCTCTTCCCAGGTCCTTGGTGTCCTGAATGAAGAATTAGACAAGATATACCAAAAAAGATAGTAAGGCTTTACATTTAGTAAAGATAAGAAAAGAATACAGAGTTAAGAGCAGGCCACTGAGAGGGTTTCCAGCAGCCACAGGGTTAATGGCAGAGGTTTTTGTATTCTTGTTCTGTAAGCTGACATCAGATCTAGGCCATTGTAACAAAACTTGCTACATTTTGAAGATAATGCTTTCTGATTGGTCCCAGGTACAGGCCTTGGAAATAGTGTTCTATATGTGTCCTGGATCTCCATGACTTAGCTAGTTGACCATGCCATAATCTCCTACTTCAACAACAGACACCACCAAAATCCACAAGATCAATAACTACAATAACTCCAATAAGAAGGTCTTGAGAAAGCGGACAGATTCCTAGACACATATGAAGTACCAAAATTGAACCAAGAAGACAGAAAATTACTGAACAATCCAATAATAATGAAATTGAGGCAGTAATACAAAACCTAATACTAAGAAAACTTAGGACCTGATGAATTCACTGCTGAATTCTACAAGACCTTCAAGAAGGTTATAATAGCAATACTCCTGAAACTCTTCAATGAAATTGAAAGGGAAGGAGTATTTCTAAACTCATTTCTGGAAGTCAGCATCACTCTGATCCCAAAACCAGAAAAAGACCCAACTATAAAAGAAAACTACAGCCCAATCTCCTTAATGAACATAGATGCAAAAATTCTCAAGATAGAATGCAAGTTAGAATGCAGTGAAATAAGAATACAGAAAAAAAATCATAAGATCATATATCGTGAACAAGTAGGTTTCATTCTAGGGATGCAAGGATGGCTCAGGATTTGCAAATAAATGCAATACACCATATAAACAGAAGGACAAAAACCACATGATCAATCAATTGATGCCCCCTCAAAAAAAAAAAACTTGGTAAAATCCAGTGCCCAATCATGATTGAAAAAAAAACTAAAGAAAATAGGTATAAAAGAACCATACCTCAATCTGATGAAAGCCATTTATGGCAAACCAATGGCCACCATCATATTAAGTGTGAGAACCTGGTAATATTCTAAAGTCAGGAACAAGACAAGAGTGTCACTACAACCACTCCTGTTCTATATACTACTCAGCATATTAGCCAGAGCAATCAGTCAAGAGAAAGAGATAAAAGGGAAAAATATATGAAAGAAAGAAATCAGTTATCATTATTTGCAGATAATGTGATACTTTACATAGAAGACCCAAAAAATTGCACTGAAGGACTTATGGAATTAATAACCAAATTCAACACTATAGCAAGATACAAAATCATGCAAAAGTAATTGTGTTCCTGTACATCAATAAAATGAACTCAGAAAAAATTAGAGAAACATTATTATTCTTAATAGAATCCAAAAAATGAAATATTTAATCTAACCAAGGAAGTAAAAGACCTCTACAACAAAAGCTATACAACTCTGAAAATGATCAGAGAGATTATCAGAAAATGGAAAGACAGTCCTCATTCCTGGTTAGGCAGAAACAGTATTGTCAAAATGGCCATACTTTCAAAAGTGACAGAGATTTAATACAATCTCAGTGAAAATATCAATAGCATTTTTCACAGAACAGATAAAACAATCCTAAAATTCATGGGAACAATAAAAGACCCAGAGTTGGAAAAGCAGTCTTGGCCAACAAAAGGAAAGAGGCATCACAATCCCACACTTTGTTATACTGCAAAGCCATGGTAATAAAAATTGCATGGTTTTGACTAAATGGACAGAGTAGAGGACATAGGAACAATACCAGATACACTCAGCCACATGATCTTTGATAAAGGAACCAAAAGTTTACATGGAAGAAAGATGTCTTTTTTAGCAAATAGTGCTGGGGAAACTAGCTGTCCCATGCAGAAAATTAAAGGTAGACTTTTGTCTCTCACGGTGTACTAAACTAAAATCAAAATGGATCAAAGGTCTAAATATTAAAATAGAAATTCTTAACCTGCTGGAAGATAGGTTAAAACTCTTAAAGGCATAGGCAAGGACTTTCTGAAGAGAACTCTAGTTGCACAAGAAGTAATAACAAGAATCAAATGAGGTTGTATCAAATTTAAAAGCTTCTGAACAGCAGATAAACACAGTAAAAAGACAACCCACAGAATGGGAAACATCTTGCCAGCTGCATTTCAGACAGAATAATAATATCTAGAATATATACAGAACTAAAAAAACTAGATCTCAAAAATAAATGACCCAGTCAATAAATTGGCAACTAAAATAGACACTTCCCAGAAGAAGGAATACAAACAGCCAATAAATACTCAATATCACTGGCCATCAGAGAACTGAAAATTAAAATGGTACTGAGATTTCTTATTCCAGAAAGAATGCCAGTCATCAAGAAATCAAATATTAAATGTAAAATGCCTGTGAGGCAGTTACTTAGCTTCCATGTGTTACTTAGGTAGATGATTATTTTCCGAACATTTTTGTTACTGATCTCTTATTTGATTCTTTTGTGATCAGGGAACATGTTTTGCACAGATGAAATCATTTTGATCTGATCTTTTTATTAATATGGTCTTAGAATATGTTCTGTTTTGTTAAGAATCATGATGTTCAGATCCACTCTATTCTGATTTTTTGCTACTTGTCCAATAATTTATTGAATAAGGGCTATTGAAATTTCAGATCGTACTTGTGAATTTGTCTTTTTTACTTTGCAGTTCTATCAATTTTGGCCTCAAATGTTTTTGAAGCTATTATTGGGTTCATAAAGTTCAGAATTGTGTATGTTCTTCATTAATTGAACATTTTATCATTATGAAATGACCTAGTTTTTTGTAAATAATAGAAGTGGTCTACTTTGACATTAATGTAGCAGTTTCTGCTTAGCCTTCTTTTGTCAATTGTTAGTATGGTATTTTTCCATCTTTTTAACCAATTTGTGTTTTTAAAGTATATTTCTCATAAGCATCATACTTTTTAATCCATTCTGACAACTTGACTTTTTTTTTTTTTTTGGTACTGGGGTTCGAGCTCAGTACATTGCACTTGCGGTGCTGCTGAGCTAAATCCCTGCTCTGACAACGTGCCTTTTAATTGAAGTTTTTAGACCATTTTCATTTAACATGAAGTGCCAAGTCTTATGCAGTCAAAATCTGTATGTATATTTTAACTCTCCAAAAACTTAGCTACCAATGCCTGCTGTTAAGCAGAAGCAATAACATAAACAGTTGATAAACTTACATTTTTACATGTTAAATGTATTGCATATGGTGAAAAATGCATGGGAACTATAAGAAATCACTTTTTACTGTGATACTTTACTAGAGAGATAAACTGCTCACATGGAGATGATTAGCCTTCTGTGGTCTTGTAAGTGGTTGCTCTAACACTCAAGCTCATCACAGTAGCAACAGGAGGTGTCTCTGAAGTCATAGGTTATATGGACTTACATTTTTGTGTTTGTTTATATTTCTCTTGACTTGAAATTAAAGTCTGTGAGCATAAATGTTGGTAAATTTTAACTTTTTAAAATGGATCTATATATATTTTATGGTAGTACATGACAGACTGTTACCTACATATATTGCATGCATTGTGACATTCTTTTTCTTTAACTTTTTAAATATTTCTAAGCTATGTGGTTCATCTATAAAGTTTTTCAAATTATCTGAATATCTCCCAATAAAAACCTGACCTGTACACTTCAAATCTGTTGTTCAAGGGTCAGCTATAGGATCGTCTTGTTGTGCCATTTTATTGCTGTCAGTTTCCATCGCTACAAATGCAATTTGGATTTTTAAAAATATCTTTCATGACTCTACTTCTCCCTGTATTTTTTTTTGATACACTTGTTTCTTATAAACAGCCTCATCCTTCCTGACTTGATTTTATGATTCCTTATGTTTCAGAACAATGTTTTAGCCTGTGTTTAATTCCCTAGATCTTTCTGATTACTAGTTGTCCTGTGAATTGTGAGTTTTCCCAGCCTGTGTGAGCATGAAGCAGTTTCCTCTGATCTTTTCAGATGTTTTTTTCCCTGGATCTCAGTTTTTTTCCCTGGATCTCAGGTAGTTTCCTGGCATAACTGTGGTATTCTTATTCTGCTCTATACTAGAGGAGGGAGGATGCTGCAGACCTCTGGGGTTCTTTCTATATTGTCTTCTCCCCTTCCTTGCTCTCTCCTGAGTTCTCTGCATTGGTTTTATCAGACTCAGCTTCATTGTCTTAGCTCATGCAGTGTGATGGACTCCAATTCTTCTTGTTTTGGGGCAGGGAATGGAGACATACAGAATGCTTACTTCATTTGTTTCTTGCCTATCATGGATGATTGTGTTCGTTGCCTAAAGTCCATTGTCCTGAAAATTGTGACTGCGTTGTTTTTGGTTGTTTCAGTAGGAACTTAAATCAGTACCTGCAACTCCATCTTGTCTAGACGCAGATTGCCAGAGTCTTAGCACCTACTGTAGCTTGATGACAAGGCTCTTAAATGCAAATAGTCATTTTATTTGTCTTAATTCTCCATTAGATTTTAGAATAAACAAGAGTAGAAGTCTCCCCTATCTGAAGAACTCAGTAAGATGAGCTCACACACTATATACACTCATTTAGTGTATGAACGATTGAATTGAAAATGTAATCTTAATGCACAAAAAGTACTCAATTCCATCTTGTTTCCTCCCTGATACAGACTCTGTAAGTGTATTAAAAATATGGGATGCGGTACATTCATATAAAACATCAATAGAACTTAAAAAAGATCATGATGAACTGCTTATGGGGAAAATTAAAAAACTGGAAAATAAGGTTAGAAGACTACAGAAGGAACTAACAGAAATAAAAGAAGTGAAATCACAGTTAGAACATGAGAAATTACATCGAGAAGGAGAGCTTGGCAAATTAAGGTATAGTGTCTCTGCTTTAAAGAAATGTTGAAACTACATACTACTGACATGTAGAGAAACTTTATAATTGGTGATTTATTGTCTGTCATTTTGCAGGGAAGAAAACTTCCTAGTCTATACAGTATAAATTCTTGAAAATGATATAACAAGTTGATAACTATGAATATATCTAACAATTAAATGCATACTCTTCTAAATAATAATTTTAGTGGTTATATAGAAATCTCCCTATTTAGCAAATAGAATTTTGCAGTTTTGTTTTTGTGTTGTAATTAATGCTGCAAAGAACATTCCTTATGTGAACCATTTTCTATATCTTTGCTTTGAATATATTCTTAATATAGGATTATTTTACTAAAGTGTAGGAACTGTTTAAAAAGGTCTTTAATCAGTATTTCTGAAGTGTTCTCAAGAAAGTTTGTATTAATTTACAGCTTCTCCAACAGTAGAAATGGCCACTGTCTTAGTTACTTTTCGTGTTGCTGAGACACCCAGAGTTAAAGGAAGAAAGGTTTATTTCAGTTCATAGTTTGTAGGACATTTCAGCCCATAATCAGGTAGCTCCAAGGCAGCATAGCATGGCAGAGGGGCATTGTAGAGAAGAAATAGTCCACTGCAAAGCAGAGCAGGTAGAAGTCAGTGAAACAGTGAAGCAGAAAGCCCCAAGTGACAAATGACCACATTAGCCCTCTTTCTGGCCCTTTTATTTTACTGAAGCTACCTGCCCTTAATGCAGGTAGCACTCACACCCAGAGTGGGGCACCCTTACTTCTACTCAGAACTATGCCAAACAAATCAGTAGACCAATTTAGTAATCACACATCCTTAATCCCAGCATTACACACTCTAGATCCAGCCACCTCTGAGAAGGCCTCACCTAAAACTGCATGAGGCTTTGTAGGATATCTAGACACAAGTCATAACAGCCATTTTTCTCAACCTAGAAGAATGTTTTTTAAAATGTAGTTTTCTTCCTTTTCTCCTCTGCCTGCCTCCTCCTCCTCTTCCTTCTGCTCCTTTTCCTGCCCCAGCTAATGTTATTCTCAACATGCATGAAACACAAAGCAAATGGAAATGAACTTTGATTACTTCATCCAACTTCTCTCTCATAGATAATATTAATTCATGTTTCTATATTGAAAGAATGTATTAGCTGTTTTGAGTTAAATATTTAGATCCTGTCTTATTCCAGAGATCTTTAAATTGTTTATGAAATACATAATAGTCAACAAGTAAGTTGAAATTACCCCCAAAAAATAAACATAAAAAGTGTGATAACAGTAGATTCTTTAGCCTTGTCTTGGATTATAGTGACATGTTGTGTAAAACACATCTGAAGGTCCTGTCTTCCACTGAATCATTTTAGGGATACCTGTAATGTTTTATAAAAGAAAAATTTTATTTCTAATTTGTAAACATTGACTTTTGAACTATGTTTTAATTGAGTAGTAATGACTGTGTAAAAGAGTTTCTTGTTTTTTGTTTTTGTTTTTCTTTCTTTCTCTTTGTTTTGTTTACCAGTGCCAGGGATTAAACCCAGAGAGTATCCCAGCCCCCCCCCTTTTTTTTCCCTCTCTCTCTCTCTTTTTGAGACATTCTTCCCATGTTGCCCAGTCTGACCTCAAACTTGTAATCCTCCCAGCTCAGTCTCCCCTAGTACCTGGGATAACAGGCATGTTCCATCATACCCACCTAAAAAGACAGTTTTCAATTTGTAACTTTACTAATTTCAAGATTCCTTTTCTATAATATTTACAAGCTATAATAGTAACACAAACTCAACAGAATATTCTTTCATTACTACCCTTCAAGTATATATGTCCTTCAGAAGAAATTGAAGTTGAAAGAATTAAAGTATGAGAACTAGGAAAGAAAAGTGTTTGAAAGCATAGAAATTTTATTAGGGTAACAAATCAACATATGCCGAGCCAGATCACAGATGAACTTTTTATTTTCTTACAAAATGCATTTTTAAATATATTTAACTGCAGATTTGCCTTACAACAAGAAGAAGAAAAGAGAAGAAATGTTCATCAGTGTTATGAAAAAATTAAAGAACAGTTAAGAAAAAAAGAAGAACAATATTATCAAGAAGTTGAAGCAAAACAGCAACTTGAAATTTCTCTTAGAACACTAGATATTGAATTGAAGACTGTAAGAAATAAATTGCATCAGGTAAATTAACCTTTGATAAGAGTTTCATATTTCAGTCTTAATGATACTATAGTATTTCTTTGATATATAGTCATGTGTTGCTTAACATTGGGAATACGATACAAGATGTGTTGTTTGGCAATTTCATTATTATGCAAACATTATAAGCCTGTGATCATACGCACTTGAACATCTATCACATCACTGAGCAATATAATCCTCAAGGTCATAAATAAGTTCATTCATTTTGAACAAAGTGTTGTTATACAGCATATTACAGTATTATTTAGGTTGAATCGCTTCTCGGCCTTTTGGCTAAGATCAAGTGTATTATTTAGGTTGAAAACAAAATGTTACCTCACCCTAAAAATTTATGACATTTATAGCTAAAAGTATTTATTATAAATCTTAGCATCTAATATCTCATTTTTTTTGTTGTATTTTTGTGGGCTTTTTTTTGTTGTTTTGTTTTGTTTTGATTTGTATTTTGGTAGTGGGGATCAAATTCAGGACCTTACATTTGCAAGGCAGGTGGTGTGGCACACTGAGCTAAATCCCCAGCCCTGAGTATATTTTTTTGAGTAAAGGAATGGAAAGTAAGTTGGGTTTAATCACGAACATAACTGTCAATTTGGGTGTTTTTTTATGTAAAAGCTAAATAGGTTTGAAACTAGTTAAATGTTTCTTAATGAAATTTTATTTCACAATATTATCTGTGCCTATATTAATAAAAGTTTTTGCTCTTTAACAAATTTTAGCTGTCATTTATGCAGTTTAAATTTTGAATTATTCATGTGGCATACAGTCCTTTGTCATTTTTTGGGGGGCGGTTTTTGAGACAGAGTCTCACTATGTAGTTGAGACTGACCTGGAATCACTGCATAGCCCAGGCTGGTCTCGAATTCACAGTGATCCTCCTGCCTCAGCCACTGGAGTGCTGGGATGTCCTTTGTCCTTTAACAGGCTACTTTGTTTTAACAATTTTTTTTTTTTTTTTTGCTTAGAGGTTCTGCTGTTAAACTTTCAGATCCCTCACCACCAAAGTTATGAGTTATCAAATATAATGAAATGTGTCTCTAGGTTTTAGAGGAACAAAATGACACCTTGAGGCAACTTTCTCAAGAACAGAATTCCAGAATGTTAAAAGATGCGATTCTGGCAAATCACCTTTGTGAACAAAAGGAGATAGAAACGGCACCAGAGAAAATAAGTCCTGAGGTACTTCCTTTAGCCATTTTCAAATGCATGTCTTTATCTATCACATCACTGAGCAGTGTAACCTTAAGGGTCATAAATGAGTTCATCCATTGTGGAACAAAATGTTGTTATATAAGATATTGCTATATTATTTAGGTTGAAAAAAAATGTTACCTCACCCTAAAAATTTATGGCATTTATAGTTGAAAGTATTCATTATAAATCTTAACATCTAATAGCTCATTTTTTGTGGTGGTTGTTTTTGTACATGTGTTAAAGGGCAACTACAGACATATATGGAAAGCATGGAATATTTTAAAACTATTTAAACTACTAAATACAGTATACATATTTTTGGGGTGGTGCCATTTTGGACTTAAAAAGTAGTGATCTATATTGACCTCCACTGGTCTGCAGCAGTCAAGTGGTCAAATTCACAATGGCCTCGCCTCAAGGAAAGGTTTTTAACATTTCCCATTAATGGTTTTTCTGTCACCTTACACTTCTTGCTACTAACAGGCAATTTGACAGTGATTTCACCCCATTGGTATGTTAATGTGGGGGTTTGTTTATTACTACACTGTTGGGTGAGAAGGAAAAGTTTGTCCAGCAGAAATTCTATTTCGGATGGAATTTCTTCACTTTTGAGAAGTATGGAGCACAGTGTACTCCAAGTAAAGAGCTGGTATTTTGTTTTTATTAAATTAGCTCGGTGTCTTTTCTTGTTTCACATTTACTAGCATTTCAGACACTGAAAAGGAAACAAAAAGTTATTGTAACAGTACCTTATCTCAGAATTTTCTAAGAGGAGTGCTACCAGTTTTATCCCATTTACCATAAAAGCATTTTAAAATATAAACCTTTTTATTCATATTTTTATAGTACAGAAAAATCTGGTTGGATGAAAGAGTACTAGGTTTAGAGTCAAAGACCTGGGGAAATCCTGTGGTTGGGTTGCTTATATGTTAACCTCTTCTTTTCAGAATTAGATAACTAAATGAGTTCTTGATGTATGTAGAAGTACTTAGTGTGGTACTTAGATTAAGCATTTATCAGTAACTAATTCATATAACTGACGAAAATGTTAGGAAAGGAGACTATTTGATATTTTCAGGATAAAAGAACTGAACTTTAGAAAACATCATCTGTTACAATACCTGTAGAGCTTTACGCCCTTACTATCGACTGGCTATATATATTAGATATCAGAATGTAAACCTAACTTTTAATGAAATCACATTTTTTATTTTATGTGTTAGATCTGTTGTAATTTAGAAAAAGGTTTTCCAATTCTGATATTCCTAATAATTACCATTTGTTTTTTACAATTGCAGATTGTGCCTTCATTTAAACTTTTTTTATATAAATTTTTTAACTTTTGGGAACTTATGCTTGTGTGCTTTGATGTTTCTGTAAGCTTTTACTCGGTTGGATATCTGCTTATTGCAGCCCTTTCATTGTATAAATATGCAGATTATTTAGAGGAAATTGCAATATGTCATTTTATTGAGTGTCTAAATGTCCCCTTTGTTTTACGTAGATTTCTGTTAGTCATGAAGAAGATCTATTGCATAAAAATCACAGGTTGCAGGATGAAAATGCCAGGTTAAGACTAGAAATAGATGCAATAAAGAATCAGAACCAGGCAAAGGAAAAGAAATATCTAGAAGATATTGAACTTGCACACAAAAAGAATGATGACCTTCAAAGGACAGTAAAACTGAATGAGGAAACAATATTTCAGTGTAATGGACAGCTTAATAGTCTGACAGTAGAAAATACAATGCTAAATTCTAAACTAGAGAATGAAAAACAAATCAAGGAAAGACTGGAAGCAGAAACTGAATCATACTGTTCCAGACTGGCGGCTGCTGTCCAGGATTATGATGAAAGTCAGACATCAAAAAGAGATGTGGAACTTGCTTTCCAGAGAGCAAGGGATGAGTGGTTTCGTTTACAGGACAAGCTGAATTTTGATCTATCAAACCTAAAAGATAACAATGAGATGCTTTCCCAACAGCTTTCTAAAGCTGAAAGAAAATTCAATAGCCTAGAAATTGAGCTCCATCATGCAAGAGATGCTCTTAGAGAAAAGACTTCAGTTTTAGAACAGGTGCAAAGAGACCTGAAGCAAACACAGTGTCAGATGAAGGAAATTAAACACATGTATCAGAATGAACAAGGGAAAGTGAATAAATACATGGGAAAGCAGGAATCTATAGAAGAGAGATTATCTCAACTTCAAAGTGAAAATGCATTGCTTCGACAGCAGTTGGATGATGCTCACAACAAAGTTGACTTTAAAGAAAAGACAGTAATTAATATCCAAGACCAGTTTCATGGTATTGTGAAAACACTTCAAGGTGAGAGTAAAAAACAAAGTCTAATACTGGAAGACAGAAATAAAGAGTTAATCGATGAATGTAATCATTTAAAAGAAAGAATATATCAGTATGAAAAGGAGAAAGCAGAAAAAGAAGTAAGTATCAAGAAAGGTAAATATTTTCCAAACTTCCTGAAGGAAACTCAGAGTGAAATTTTACTATGGATAATGTTTAATCTAGTTGAATATAAAAGTATATAGTGTACAAGTGTACTTCCTGTGTCTGCCCAGAAACTTACTTTGTTTGCAGCAAATACAACTTAGACCTGATTCCCGACAAAGTGTGCCCCCAGGTGAAGAGTAACCCTGTTGCCCTGACCCCAGTAGCCACATTTGTGCACGTACTCAGTTGTCACCCTGTACCTCAGAAATATGGAAAATTAAAATTTACCATGTCTTCATTACACATTTCTTAAATATTCAGAGTTGTATAGAACTGAATTTGAAATGCACAAAGAAAAAGTTAGATCTGAGAGGTTTTGGGTTTTTTTTAATTTTGTTTTTGGTGCTGGGAATTGAACCCAAGGCCTTCTGCTTATTGCATATATGCTGTACCCCTAACTTGTACCCCAGCTGTGAATTTTAATCTTTGTGTTGCTGTTAAGACCATGACGAAGATGAATGGAAATGCTCATGGGTATTTTTAAATTAAGATTCAATTAAATGGGTTACTTTGACAGTTCGTCCCAGATTTTCCAGACAAAGTACAGGTGCTATATTTTATGATAATTTTGCTTCTGTAGCTTTACACACACACACACACACACACACACACACACACACACGAATATTTTTGTTAGAGTTTTATTCATGTTGTCATGACCTAAATCTGAAAATGTTTATCTCAAATTTTATATTTTTATGACCTGTCAACTCTATAAAAGGCATAAACTTTTCATTAAATCATAAATTGGAGAAAATGTGGAAATTTACAGCAAAACTATAGTTGGTTTAATCTTTTCAATGGTATGTATCGTTTATTTTCTTAAGTAACTTCCTTGTACTATTAATTTTGAGACTGTTCCTATTGTGTAAAGGATGTAACTTTATCCAATACAAAGATGATTGTAGCAATCTGTGATATTTTGACACAGAATCTCCATTTTCAGGCTAAGGAATTCAGGTGCCAGGATTCATGTACAGCAGCAATGGAGTATATAGGGGAGAGAGTTGGATCAGCTGAGGTCAGGGAAAGAGGTGAAGGCCATGTTACCTAGGAATTCACTTTTATTACAAGATAAGTACCTACTGGAGGAATTTGAGCAGAGGGTTGAACATAAACTGTAATAAAGCTCTAAAGTTGAGTCTCTAACAAAACTGAGGGAAAATATGTGGAATTTACCACCACCAGTCCCACCCAATACTGGGGATCAAACTCAGGACCTTACGCTTGCAAGTCAGGCAGTGGCACCACTGAGCAAACTCCCCAGCCCCCATAGTCCCCGTTCTTCTTGAGACTTCAATAGATTGTTAAACATTGCGAATTCATCAGAGAAGGAGTGGATGAAGTGTTGATTCTAGTGTCAGGATACTAACAGAATAGTGATTGGGCAGGAAAACACCACCTTCCATGTCCCTAACTGAACTCAGCAATAATCAGAAGCATATACATGAAGATGATTTGGAAAGATGAACTAATGTATGTGGTGATATTTTTCAGAATATATGTTAAATATTAATAATGTAACAAAAAGATGATTTATAAAATAAGTAACAGAAATTTCTTATCAGGGAGTTGTAAGACAACTTCAGCAAGAACTGGCTGATACCTTAAAAAAACAATCTATGTCAGAGGCTTCACTGGAAATTTCATCACTTTATCGCATTAATTTAGAAGATGAGACACGGGATTTAAAGAAGAACTTAAGTCAAATCAGAAGTCAAGTATGTATGAAATTTAACATGTCAACAGTTAATCTACAGCTGCTTAAATATTATAAAGTGTTTTAGGATACAGTGGACAGTTTTGTATTTTTATTATGTTTATTGTGATTTTATTATCTTTATACTATAAGTTACTCTTACTTTCTGGCTTTTTTCTTACAATTTCCCACATCTTTCCTTAAAATACATCCCCTTAAGGGAAAGTTGAGAATTACAGCAAAGTTGAGAGACTTGTTCATGTTAAGCAGTATTTTTAGTGATGTCTCTGTTGTCGGGGTGATAATAGGCAGATTCAGTCAGAGCATAATGTTTAACAATATATTCCAAACATTATCTTGTTTCTTCACTTTTGTGAATATATAATCTTTGTATGTGTTTATCATGGACTTCAAGATAAGTTGTGTATAGAAAGTGTTTTCTCAAAAATGTAAATGCTTTAGGTTACAGGTATTCCTCATTTAACAACCTACTTAACAGTTGTTCAGACTTATGATTGAGTACTGTTCAGGCTCATAACCCCCCCCCTTGGACTTACAACCCATCTTTTTTTTTTTTTTGTATAGTTCTGTACATCTTGTCTAGAGAACCTCAAAACCTTTTTTGTACAGTACAGCTTATTTATAGAGTTGTGTAAATTTTGCTGATTTAACTGTATAGTACAGTACTGTACTTTTATGCATTACAATACTGCATGTAAGAGTTATGCAGATTAAAGCAATCATCAAGTTGGAGTTTCTTTGACTCTTTGCTATAAATTTTGAAATGTACATTCAATGTATAATTCTTCATTTAATGATGTTCCTTAGTTATAGGAATGTAATTCATCATTAAACAAGGATTATGTAATTTAAAAACTAAAGTTATACATTTCATTTTTCTTTCATTTAAAATAAAGTTGTGAAAGTATTCAGATCATGTATTTATATATAAAATAAAGAATTAAGAAAATTAAGTTCTGCCATTGGATTTTTCAAAGCAACTTTATTGAGTTATAATGCAAATACCACATAGTTCACTCATTTAAAGTGTAAGATTGAGCATCTCTTAGTATGATTTAATCACATAAGCATCTCCACAGTCAATTATACATCAGTTTTATCCCCTGGAAAAGAAACCCCAAGTCCTTCAGCTGTCTCTCCATCTTCCTCAGTCCTAGGAAACTGTCAGTCTTTTGTTTGTTTGTTTGAGAAGGTCTTGCTGTGTAGGTTAGGTTGGCCTGGGACTCAACAGCAATCCTCTTGTCTTATCCTCCCAAGTGCTGGGATTACAGGTATGTGCCACCATGCTGGGCTCACATTTGTCCTTTGTGATTGTCTTCTTTCTCTTAGCCTAGTGCTTTCAGGGTTTATTTGTGTTGTAGCTCATTTCTTTCTGTTGTAGAGTCACATACTCTATTATGTGGCTACCTCGTATCTATTGATGAGTTGAAGGACCTATGGTTAGTTAATAGAACGTTTTTGGCTGCATTTAATACTACAATAGACATTCACAAGTTACTGTATACAAACTTTTTTCCCTTGCCATTGGGTTTTATCCATTGAGTTATTGGGCTGATGTCCCCCCTCTCTGCTTTTATTTGTACTGTTCTCTCTGTAGTTTCTCTTCATTTGGCCTCATTTATTCAGAAGTGGCTTGCAATTTGCTCTTTTTTTTGAAACTTTCTCTTCCTGTTCTGACCCTTGGTGACTACGTGTTTCCAGCAAATTGTTCTGTAGAGAACAAGTTAGCTGGTCTGCAATCTTGCATTGCTTTTTTTGTTTTTTGAAGAGTAATAATCTTTTGCTCACTTTGGCAGCACATATACTAAAATTGGAATGAAGAGTAATAATCTTGCCTAAGTATAAATTAATTTACCTAAGGAGAGAATAATTTCCTGATATTCTTGTTTTTACCTATCCTTGACTAAATTGAAAATATATTTGCTTAATATTTACTATTAAAAAATTAAGATTGGCTTTGGTAGTGCATGCCTGTAATCTCAGCAGTCAGGAAGCTGAGGCAAAAGTATCATTTGGGGTCAGGCTGGGTTACATGGTGAGTTCAAGGTCAGGCTGAATTATGTAGTAAGACCCTGTCTAAAAAAATTAAGTATTATAGCAAATAATTTCTTTGAAAGATTGACATAATGAGGTTTATATTATACAGATATTTTAAGAAATATAAAATTGAAAGCATTTTATCTGATACAGGAGAATTTTCTATCAAATGTTTGTATTTTTTTCACCATAGGAAAGAAATGGAGATTTGTCTTCATTACATAATTATACCAGGATTTATAGACCATGCATTTGACCAACCAAAAAGCTTTGTGTGATGTACTATTATACACACTCTTCATTTGCTCATCAGAGTGCTTGCAAAAGCAGCCCAGCAGTTACTGGAAATGAATTGATTTGGGAACCTTTATTTAGCAACAAGGTCCTATAGCTTCAGCTCAGTGGCTTTAGCTACCTCTTGTGATCATGTCACACACATAATACTTAATCCAGGAAGCTCCATCTGCGTGATTATTGCCCACTGAGTAGTGCTGAGAGAAAATAAGCTGTAAGTTGTTACTTTTAAAGTATCATTAGCTACTGGAGTTAATCAGTGGGTCTCCTTGATTAATCCATGGGATGTATTTCGGGCCTTGTGCTTTGAAATGCCGCCTTCATTGTTAATAATGGCCACTTGAGCTTGTGTAGAAGACCTCTTCCATTGGCTACCACCTGCCTAAAACATCAGATTTTGCTTTCTCTAGCCTGAGGTCAGCTCAGGAGGCACAAGGAAGCAGGAGCTTCACCAAGAGCCCTATTTCCTCAGTATTCCTGTATTTCCTCTTTACTGCTTCTCCTATTTAAAACAATTTTTTTCTGGCTCTGGAGACTGAACCCTGGGCCTTCCACTGACCTACATCTCGGGCTGTTTATATGTTTTATACTGAGACAGGATCTTGCTAAATTGCCCAGGCTGGGCTTAAATTTGCTATCCTTCTGCTTCAGCCTCCTTAAGTGCTGGGATTACAGACATATGCCACTACACCTGGCCTCATTTATTTCTTGTTGGTTTTTGAGATATGATCTCACTCTGTATCCCAGGCTGACCTTGAATTTACTCTGTCACCCCAGGGAAGCCTCAAGCTTATAGCATTCCTGCCTCAGGTTCCTGAGCACGAGGATCACAGGTGTGTGACCCCAAACCCAATTCCTATTTTAAATTTTGCATCATGGTCTCAATTATCAAGGCTGGGCTTAACCTAGGCAATCTTCTGCCTCAGCTTCCCTAAAATATGAAATTTTATCAAAACATTAGAAACAGTAATACCTATAGCAGAGATTCTATATAGCCCAAATTGAGTTGCATACTCTTCCCTCATTTAATTTTCCCAGCAGTCCAGTGAGGTGTAGATGCTGTTGTTATCTCCAATTCATAGATGAAGAAATCAAGACAAAGTTCATCTTCTTCCGTTCCCACTGCTGCTAACTGGTGGAGCTGGACCTCAGACCCAGGCATTCTGGCTTCTGTGTAGATGCTGTTTCTCAAACAGTTTCAGGAGCCATCTAGACATTACTGAAGTATAATGCTCATTTTTAGTATCACTGGATACCTCTTGTCAATCATATGTAAGAATTTTTCAAATCATGGTTGATGAATGATACTTCAAATACAAAAATATAAAACTATATAAATATAAATATGAAATCTTTTCCTACACCAGTGTCTTTAAGAGTTCTACCTAACCTCTCTTCCAGCTGGTTTAGTGTTTCTATTTTAATATTTAGATCTTTAATCCATTTCAATTTTAGTCTAGTGCATGTTGAGAGGTATAGATGTAGTTTTAATCTTTGGCAAGTTGAAACCCAGTTTTTCCAGCACCATTTATTAAAGAGGCTATCCTTCCTTCAGTGAGAGTGTTTGGCTCCTTTGTCGAAGATGAGGTGGCTGAGTGTGTCTGGAGTTGTTTCTGCATTTTCTAATCTGTTCTACTGGTCCTCAGGTCTGTTTCTTTGCCAGTACCATGCTGTTTTTATCACAGTAGCTTGTGTAGGAAAAGATTTTATGAACAAAACTTCAGTTGCCTATGAACTAGCACAAACAATCAACAAGTGGAATCTCTTCTTATTAAAAAGCTTCTACACATCTTAGAGAAACCACCAATAGTGTGAAGAGACAACCCACAATGTGAGAAAAAATTTTCACCAGCTGTCCCTCAGACAAAGGTCTACTATCTAGAATATATAAAGAACTTTAAAAAAATCAGACCTCCCAAATTTAAAGACCCAGTCCAAAGATGGGCATCTGAAATGAACACACAGACAAAAAAGTAGAAATAGCACATAAACTTATGAAAAAGTGTTCAACATCGCTTGTCATTCAAGAGATGCAGATGAAAACAATACTGAGATTCTACCTCACCCCCAAAAAGAACGGCTGCCATCATGAAATCAACCAATAACAAGTGCTGGCAGGGTTGTGGGGAAAGAGGAACACCGCTCCACTTTTGGTGGGAGTATAGATTGGTACAGCCACTGTGGAAATCAGTATGGAGATACCTCAAAGAACTAGATAGGATTGGAAGTCTGATTTGACCCAGCTACTCCCCTGCAGGGTATCTTCCCTAAAGAATTTAAAGCATCATACCACCGTGACATATGTGCCCCCATGTTTATAGTGGCACAATTTATAATGGCTAAAACTTGGAAGCAACCCAGTTGCCCATCAACTGGAGCCTGGATAAAGAAAATGTGGTTCTTTTATAAAATGGAGTACTACTCAGCCATAAAGAATGAGAAACTAGAGACATTTATAACTAAATGAATGCACATTGAGGCAGTACTCAAGTGAAATAAATAGGACACGTGTGTGAATATGGAATAGTTTCTCTATTGTGAGAAACTGAAAGTATAAGGACTAATGGGTATAATTCATAATGTGAAATAGAAAAGTTGAAAAGGGGAAGGAGAAGTGGGAGGGGTAGGGGAAAAGAAAGAGAGTGGAATTAATATGAGAAAATGAAAAAATGGAAACAAAGTCTTTGTAGCTAAGAAGGGGTGGAGGGGTAGAAGGGAGGGGAGAGAAATAGTGAAAAAATAACCAAGATGGGTTATGTAAAGGTGCAAATTTCCAATGACGAATGTCATTATATTGTATACCTTAAATGTACCAATAAAATTAATTTTTAAAAACTATAGCATAAAGCCAGGTGTGGTGGTGCATGCCTGTAATCCCAGCACTTGGGAGGCTGAGGCAGGAGTATCACTGTGAGTTTGAGACCAGCCTGGGCTCCATGGTGAGTTCCAGGTCAGTCTCAACTACATAGACCCTATCTCAAAAAAACAAAATAAAACTACATCATAATTCTTCTAATATAAAAGTACAACTAAAAACACAGCATGAGTAAAGGAATTTTCTCTTTTTCCTCATTTTATCAAGGTTTTTGTTTTTTGTTTCTTTCCTGTGACACTATGCATTGCCAAGGCAGGTCTGGAGACTCAGCCTCCCAAGTAGCTGGGACTCGAGGCACATAGTATTGTGCCAGCCTTCCAGTTTTGTCAGTTCGAGTATCTGGTAACATAGCTAAAATCAGGAAGTATATTTCCGACCTCGAGCAGGGATCAATGAACTTTCCTGTAAAGGGCCAGATAGTGTTGTTTTGGGCTCTTTGGGCCAGAGGATCCTTACCTCAATGATTCAGTTAACTCTAGTTGCATCACAGAGGTAACTCTAAACAGTACGGAGGTAGAGCACTACGGCTGTGTTCCAGGACAGTTGGAGTGTGAAAACTGGAGGTGGGCAGGTTATTAGTAAAGTTTTTGTTTTGTTTTGTTTAGTTGGAAGAAGAGCAGAATCGACACACACAGGCTGCGCAATGTGCTGAGAAGTTGCAACAACACCTACAAAAGTATGATTTAAAGCAGTATGCAAATAACTTGAATATTTATAAAGTCAATGTGCAATATAGTATGAGAAATATGTCAGTTAGATAATCAATAAGTCTCCATCAAACTGTGTGAAATTCTAGCTTTGATCCAGTTACTTGAAATGTGTAATGTAGGGCTGTCAATATAGTGCAATGGTACAAGCATGTGCTTTACAGATGAGGCCTTGGGTTCAGTCACAACACTGCAGAAGAAAAATTATCTACAACCAAGTGGGAACAATGATAATTACCAGATCATCTACTTTTTCTAATTTTTAAGATTGTGTGTATTCATTCTTTCAAATGCTCAAAAATTATGTGATTTTTTTTAAACAATAGGTCTGTGAAAATAATTATTTTCCAATAAATATTTTAGGCTTGAACTTGAAAATTCCAGGTTAAAAGTGAAAGTTAAAAAGCAAGCAGGGAAAACTGAACAGCTTCAGAAACACCTGTTAAGTACAAATTTGGTAAGTCAGTCTCTTTTTCATTTCTATCATCATGAGAAGGAGTTTTTATTTCTCTAGTAGTATATAGGAATATTTTAGGCAAAATATTTTTTTTAAATCTCATTGATAAAAATATTTGTCATAATCATGTTAGTACTATTTGCTCTACTAATAGTAAAGTCCTCTTAACTTTAGAGAAGGTAGTTGAATTTATATAGTTAATGACTTTAGCAGTAATATTTTATTAAAAAAGACTGTGATCCGCTAAAATTGATATTTTACATATATACCACATTTCATTTATCCATTGATGAACCTGAAAGTTATTTCGACATTTTCTTGGAAATAATGCTGCTCTGGACATTGTTATATATAACTATATATTTGGAGTCTTACCTAATATTTTATAATAACTTTTAAAATTATAGGAAATTTATGTAATGTAGAATTTTGAATTTTTCTTAGAATCAAAGCCTTTCCATGTGATTTTTGAGTATAAATTACTTGTAATTTATATTCTTATAAGAATAAATACTAGGTCAGTAGGCAATCATTTTTTTCCCAAAGAAACATTTATTTCTCTTTTACTGTAAGAAAAGGAAAAATATGTTAGTAAAAAAGTAGAAATGTCTGTTCATCTTACAGAGTAACTAGTGCTTCTAGCATTGTAGTTTCAGATTTTTTTTCCAGCCATTTGTGCTTATCAGCTACTCAAAGGTATAACAGTCCAGAAGATTGATGTTCAACTCTGGTGAGAGTTTGCTTATGTATAATGAAAATCATGTAGGGGCCGGGGATTTAGCTCAGTGGTTCCCCTGCCTGCTTCACAGGTGCAAGGACCTGAGTTTGATCCCTGGTACCAAAAAAAAAAAAAGAAAATCATGTAATTTGAACAAGCAGAGCAGTTTCCTGTTGTTCATGCTCTCCTTTGTTGACATAGTTGCAGGATCAAGGACATGATGCTAGGATTAAGGGTGTGATACCCTTGGGGGTGGATAAAATAGATAGCCTTGGTAAGACAGAAGGGACAGAAAGAGGCTTGTCACTTTGTTGCTTATTGCTGCTACTGCTGCTTGTCTTCTCTTTGATGTCCCTCTGCCACGCCACCCTGCCTTGGAGCTAGCCAACTGAAACCTCTACAAACTGTGAGCTGAATAAACCTGTCCTCCCTTATCTCATGGGTGTTGGGTATTTTGTCTCAACAACAAATAAAGCAAAACTAAGACACATTATCAGGGGCACTGGAGTGTTCTGACTAGTGTTTCTCTGAAGAAACATGGAGAACTATTTTTTTCTAAATATCACATAAATTAGTCCTGTTTTATTACCATACTTTTCATATACATAACATAACAATATATTGATGTAGAGTCTTATGTAAATTAAAGTGTTTGTAGATGGGGAGGGGAGGAGGGGGTGAAGGGAGGGCAGAGGTAAGGGGAAAAAAATGAGAATCAAGACTTGCCATGTAAAGGTACATGATCCCAACAATGAATGTAACTGTACTGTATCCCTAAATGTACCAATAAACTCAAT